AAGTAGCGCTGGCGAAATCATGGCAAATTGGGTTTGAAAGAGCGCAAACAAAATGTGCGGGATTTCAGTGCCGTACGTGCCGCTCGGGGTTTTTCCCACATTGTTGTAAGCAGCCCACTCGAACATACCATTAGATCCGAATGCCACTGAGTATCCAAAAGCCCAAAATTGAATTGACACTAAGGCCATGCTGACAAATGACATTAAGATAGTGTTGGATGCCATTTTCTCACCAGCAAGACCAGCGTAGAAGAAAGCAACTCCCGGTGTCATGATCATGACCATGGCACTGGCCGTAAGTAACCATGCCGTATTTCCTGAGTTCACCGCTTGGCCGTAGTCGGCCTGAGCCTTTTCACCTTGATCCTTGTAGTTGACGCACTCGCCAGTACTATCGTCTAAGTATTGCGAGACCAAACAAGTTGTCACAGAGCCGGAGGCATTTTGAGCTGCAGCAGTAAAAATGTGTCCTACAACCAGTGTTACTAGGAGCACTAAATTTGTATGCCAGTTCATGGGCGTGGTTTAGAGCAAATTCTGGACTGAGCATGGAAACCGACGTGCACTGAGCGCTGTACGTCTAAAAAAAAGACGTCGACAGCAATTCAAGCAGTTCGATGTTGAGGATGACGGCAGCGATTGGTGGCTCCAGACTTTGCGCCGCTGAATTTTCCACATTGTAGATCTGCTTTATCTTCAGTAAGTAAATTGATTATGGTTGTGGTCATGGTTCCGAGAGTCAGCTTTAAGGAGTTGGCAAAGCGGAGTCGATGTGGGATGCGAACCCTTTTCCATTTTTTCTATTGTTTCTCGCTATAAAGAGCAAAAACATTGCGTACACTGTCTTAAGGTACCCAAAATGGAGCCCTTTGATGCACAAAGACATGATTTAGGGTTGCATGAGCCAGATACAGTAAGGCTCAATTTTGTTACTATCGCTGCGTGGAGGCAGAATGCTGTACTTAATGCAGAACTTTTGATAACTGTCATTACGTAATCACCATGGTTGATAAGGAAAATGCTGTGTAGCTCTTGTTGAGACCATTAAAGGCTCTTGTCGAGACCACAATAAGAATCGACAGCTGATCAAATTCGCATTACGTTGCGTTCATGACCGATTCCTAATACCTTTGCGCTCCTTTGGGCGATCACGTATGCATTGGTATCCGTATGTTGAAGCAATTTATCATGAAAATTGTATAACAGCAATTCTGAAGGATAAAGCAGTGCAGGCCTTGAGCCGTACGGTAGACATTATCGTGTGGGTGTTTAATCCATCCGCACATTGACAGGGTAGAGCCCTGTCAATGTGAACTATATAACTTTGTCTTATTAGTATGTTGTTGAGTCAACTCACAAGTGCGTTGCAGAAAACATATGAGCTTCGGTAAGAAAGCTGTCGGGAGTGAAACGTTGTCAGTCACAGTGATGTATATTCCATATTGGGTGCTGTCGTGCATCATAAGGCACAGCTTGTGGCTTTACAGATCCAAGACTTTGGGTATCTTAGACAGCAAATAGTAAGATATGAAACTTATTCTTTTGATCGGAATGATGATACGTACATTGAAGTCTTAAGAGAACTAGAGACGGTCGTTTACAGTACTGTTTGAGATCTGCTCTGCATTTCGTCAAGAGATCTATTTATGTGCACCTCTCTGCCGATATATTCGTTGCGATCGTTGTTTCTCTTCGCGGCAATTGCAACTGCCTTGAAAGTTTTCTTGCTTCTCTCTACCTTCTATTCACAATGAAGCATCTCTGTGGTATAAAAAAATCAAGTGCTTTATCATGTGACCATGAACTTCTCGGCAGAAAAAGTAGTTGATTCTCATATATCAATGTCTCATTTACCGCAGATAGTCGCTCATAGTGGTCTATCAAAATTTTTGCTGGGCGCCTTCACCAGATCGCGCAGCTGCTTTTCCGATTGAGCGCGGTAACGTAACGTCTTCCACATGTGATGTACTGTACTAGATTCTCTTTGCATTGTCTGAAGACTTGAGACTGAGCAGACAACTAAAATGTATAGTCAAAGAAGTCGCACCAATTGGATTCTGGCGTCGATTTTACACAGTCTGCATTTGTCGTTTTAGAGCATGTTGTTACGCGAGCGCCTGGTTTGTACTTGAGCGGTAATTTACCTACATCCAACGATCTCAATTGTTATTGGGGTGTCAAAACATTTAGCACAACTTTGTTAGCGTGTACGACAGTTTCCTAGCTCATAAATTCGTTTTCCGCAAGGATTATATCACACTTCACAGCTTAAATAGTAACAAATAGAGAACTTTGTTGTAATCTTAAATAGGTTTTGATATATAGATAGGAAAACCTATAGATTTAGATATAGGTAGCATTGCAGCAAATAAAACCGAGAAATACAATTTACGTGTTAAATGGAAGGTTGTAATTACTCTTGAAGTAAGTGGATTGCGATCCGCAACACTTGTACTGGTTTTAAGTATAGAACGAAGTTCACCGACCTCAACCAAGCTTCTTCTAGACGGAAGAGCTATGGCAGCCTGGCTGTACTTGGTAGCACTTGTAGTCAATCTACACCTGATTCGTTACGACTGACCCTCTGTGAGAATGAAGCAGTTCTCTTATCTGCCCCGGGGCATGCAGAACGGACTTAAAAGCTGATGTCTCTGGTTGGCGCTGAGGGCGAGAAACACCTCGCCTCTTTAGGACCTGAAGTGATCGGCGCGCGCCTAGAGACCTTTTCGAGCTATGAAAATGCTTTGCTAGAGCACCGACAGCAAAAGATGTCGGCGTCGATTGCGTTCATGACGCCAATGTCAGCGAAGGGTGACTCCCCCCGAATCAAGCCGCTCATGGTGAGTGTCAAGACCTTTGAGGGTAAGAATGAATGAAAACTATTGCTTCGGGGGAGAGAGGTCGAGATGGCCATGTCGTCCGCCATGCTATAGGCGGAGCAACAGCGCGTGACACTAGCTATCTCCGATTCCGAAGGGTCGACCGCGAAAAAAATGGGCACTAACGTGCGGCCCTTCGGTCGAAGCGGCGTTTTCCTTCTAGACAGAGCTGAATCTGCAGCTTTCACGAGTGTTCTCGCCGCCTAACCAGGCCTATCGCGCGCGAATCCGTTTTCTTGCTGACCGACAGGGCAAGAAGGAATTGGTGGATGTTGTAAAGAGTTGCGTACTCTCATTGCCGGTATGGCAGTTTATTCTCTTCCCGAAGGTGGTCACAGTGACCGTCTTTATGGAGATCCTCCGCACTGGTATGACCAAAATGGAGGTTTTCCGTGTGCACCAGTCTTCTTTTAGAAGCGGTGAATGTGACATTGAATGCCGAATTCAACTATTACTCGGTACTACTTGGTTGGAATGCACACTCTAGCAGCTCGTCGATCGTGCCTGAGCCATTGAATCTCAGCTACGCTGTGGACGTGGAGGCAAGGCTCTGTGCAGCCGAGCAGCGCTCGAACACCCGACGGTGTTTTTCTGTGAATACACCCATCACCTTCAAATTAGTTGTCTTCTGCGCAAGGCGCATCAAAGTTCGTCGAACCGACGTCCCGCTTCTTACCAGTCTTCTGGTTTGTCGCCGAGATGCGACAACACCCAGTAGGCGCGGGCGGACTACTGGGGAAGACTGAGCTCTGTTAAGCTTCAAAGAGGTAGTGGTCAGCAGGGATCAGCCCCGAAGAGCTATGTGCTCTTGAACACGGAACGCGTATGCAAGCCGGACTTGCTGGTTTTGATAGCGTTCGTGAGGGGCTTTGAGAAGCTATGGAACATCCTGATCGACTCCGGGGCGTCGAGCAATTATGATCGTCACTCCACGATGGAATGAAGCTGGCTGTATGCTGAGGCGCTGAAAGCGCGGTCGAGTGACATCGTCACTGTTCGCTTAGCGACTGTGACATCTGTCACGGTACCGAGGTCCCTGTTAGTCTCGGTGTCAAGTTTCTTTATTTCGTATCGTAAGACGCTGCTATGGATTAGACTTGTATCCAAGGTATGACCTTATCCTTAGTATGGCATGACTGGAACCACTAGCCATGGATCGGCTGGAGGTCGAATCCCATCGGCGCTACGCGCACGTCTCCTGGTGGAGCTTTGGTAAGTCATGAACCTATCTCTGCTAGATGGCAAAAACACAAGTGGCGCGGGCACTGGACAGGGACGGTCAACGTGCTTGGTGAACACCGAAGGTGTTTTGGGCAGGAGTTCTGAGCATGGATCGCGGGCTGAATGTGGAGTGGCACCTAACCCACTGAGCGCTGCTCTAGTATCAAAGCAGTCGCTGCATGCCATGCGTAGAATGGTCGTTCAAGGGCTAAGGTATCGAGGGCGAGGCCCAGTGATGCACGGATGTCACTGAGCACTGCTCACGTTTCGAAGCAGTCGCTGCACGCCACGAGTGGCATGGTTGAACGAGGTTCGAGGCATCGACTGCAAGGCTTCACTGATGCACGTGGAGTGGCACGTATTCCTCTGGGTGAAGGCTGCAAAGCTAGCAGCTCTTTGCTGGATGCTGTTCATAAGATCAGGGCTCCGATGCTATCTGTGTGTAGCTACTGAACTCGCCGAGACTTACATCTCTGTAAAGTGGCGACAGCGACGCCGGATGCTAGCTGCACGACGGGCGTCGACCCTGATTTAGGATGTCTACCGTAGACGAAAACGCACTGCCATACAACCGGTCGTATAGTTTACACTTCGGCTAACGCGCCTGCCTTCAAGGCCCCGCTGACTATTCGAAGGACATATCGTTTAGCCCAAGAAGAGCATCCACAACAGGAGTAGCCCCCAGGGTAAGGTCGCCGTCATCCTTCCCCTGTCATACCGTTGACGAGGAAGATGATCAATTCGTCGTCGCGTCTGGATGAAGCTGTCCAGGAGGACACCAAGAGGGTGCAAAACGCACCAAGTGGATCGTCGGTTCAGAAGAATCCCTTAGAACCGTACTATTCTTTGGTAAAGGAATTTCAAGACGTCGTCTCCAAAGACTCGCAGTCGGCCCCACCTCCGGACCGAGGTGTGCGTCATGAGATCGACCTGGCTCCGGGAACCAACTACTGCGTAACACGCCAATGGCCTCTACCCATGGAGTAGTGTGACGTCATTGATGTTTTTTTTTGTGCGAAGCACGGCGCAGGAATGGCGCGAGAGTAAGTCTTCCCATTCGACACCCAGGTTTTGTGTCCGGAAGTCGAACGGCAAGTGGCATATCGTTCACGCTTACAATAAGCTCAACGCTGCCACCTTCCGGCGCAGACGCCGATTCCTAGAAAGAATGTTTTCGGAACAACATGGTTGAATGTATAAAGTACAGTACACGACTTGGTCGATGGGTATCATTAATTGCTCATGTGAACTAGTGATATTCCGCTGGCAACGGTGAGTACTCTGAGTGGATGCTCTGGGAGTGGCTGGTGATGCCCCAAGGGCTGTCAAATACACCAGCAAAAAATAATCATCTTGTAGAGCAGTTGTTCAGGCCCCACCGGGCGTATACACAAACATACTTTCAAAACACCTTCG